TGTATGTACATAAGTATGTTCGGTGGCGTTACACCTATGCTCTACTTATGAATAATAACACTGCAGTGGAGCTTTTAAATTTCCATTGTTATGCTACATATTTACATACAACTATACATATGAAACCGTAAATTTGGTTTATTTTGGTTATTTGTCTGAAAGTTTTATGCAAGGGATATTTTTAAGATAATAATGTTAGGAGGTTCCTTTTATTTTTATGTAAATATTGCTATTTTTTCCACTTACTACAATTAAAGGAGTTAGGCAGAGCGATTGTTGTTGTTGTAGCGTAGAAAAATTAAGAAAACGCTGGTAATAAAATTTAAATTAAAAGCAATTTATGCCTTTAAAGTTGGTTTTTTTTTATAAAATTTCATAATTTCATAATTATTTTATGAATTTTATATTTCTACACTTTCAAAAATTCCAAATGAATGTTTTGTTTTAATACATTTTTGTTGTTAAACGAAATGTTCTACTTAATTTTTTGGGTTTAATCGGGCTTTAAACAATTTTTTGTATGCAAGCGAGTAATCGTTATTCGAATTCCATCAATTTCTACTTTCTTCATCACTAAAGAAGTGTTACTTTCATGACAAATTATACCACGGGCTTAGATTGGTTGGTTGCGCTCCTGGCATAACTTAACTACACTTTCGTGAGTATTTTGCTCTATGGAAAAAAAATTATTTAATCTCTACCAACCAAATGAGTCAGGTATTTAGGGGCACCGTGAAGGATGTGAGATACTATCTCTGAGGTAGATGTCTCGTTCCCATAAAAATACTAAGTTTTCGTTTGCATAAAGTGCTGAAATGACTGTGGCAGTCGATGGCAGTCCCGCGACCGCAGAGCGAGATCGCTCATATGTCTCTTTATTGTCTTCAACATTCTTATGGCCCACGGAATCCAAGTGATTACCACTGTATTTTTCCCCCTTTTTTGATGTTTTTACACACTCGGAATTTGTGCTGTCACAATTAATAACTATAATTTCCGCTTGACTGTCTACGAAAGACCTGATAGATCTTGCTGTTTTGGTGGAATAGTTCCTCTGCACGTATTCCAGATTTGGAACGCTGGGTATTAGACACCAGATCCCTTGCTCTGACTTACATAAAAAAGACTTGTTTTTATCTTCATCAGCGAAACGAGGTAAATTTTGCGGTTAATGTGAAATCCCGTTCGGGTTATGGGATCAAGAATTTACCCGCGGTAAGGCATACCTTTACACCGGAACGACCCGGATTTTTGTCCGGCTAAGGACTGTCCCTACCGCAACGTTCCCCAAAAAGTACAATGGGGAAAATTTTTGCAGTTACAGCAACATTTCCGAGGATATCAACTAGCTTGGTATTCCAGGTGCATACCCTCAAATCGTAGTATTTGGTATTATTTTCCATTATTGAGATCCAAAGGAAGGTCTCTAAAGTGGTGAAAAATCCTGTTTGTTGTACTGAAATTTTACTTGGCGCCGCGACGTGACATATTTTCTTGTGAGCCGCTTGCAGCCACTTTTCTTATCCCTTAAACCGAATATATTGGAATAATGGAAGATTGCTCTTTTTAAAAACATTTCCAGAAGGTTTAATAAAAAAAACCCACAAAAATAGTATAAATATATAAAAAATTTTCATATTAATTTAAAAATTATTAATACATATATACATACATACATTTATTGTGTAGTTTAACTAACATTATGCACTTACACTTATGAAAAATAACAGACATGATCTGCAATTGTTGGTTATTTCTAAGAAACTACATCAAAAAAACTTTTTTCAGATAAAACTTTTGATAGCAAACATTGAGAGATAAGAGACATACATAACTAAATACATGCACACAAGTATAAACATTCGAACAACACATACATGAACATAAATATTAATGCAAGTAAATATGTACGCATTGGTACATTAAGCTTACTACTTCATACAAATTTATCTGAATACGAATTCTAATTGGAATTTTTGACTTTTTTTTATATGTAAAAACTCTAAACAGAATTTAAAGCTAAGGATTGGAGGTGTATGCTATGTTTTTTTTCTGAAATGTTTAACTTTTCACCTTGCCATTTTTTTTTTATTTTTTTTTTTTGTAAACCACTTACCATGTATAACCAATTCAGAATCGCGATTGATTTCATACAAACGTATAGCTTCATCCAATTCCATTTGTGTTGTTATTGTACAAGGATCATTCTCTTCGTCTACCCATTTAATGGTAAAGGGCTGTATGGTGATTTTCGAAAATGTTTATTAATATTTTTTTCTGATTTCAAAAATTATTTTATCTAACCTGATCAGCGTTAAAACGACAGATGCCACGTATCTCATGACATAGATTTTCGTAAGTGATATTTTCATCGATGTAGGTGATCATTATTTCGCCATTATAGGCAGTTTTCACTTTAATCTCATTGGTGGCACTGTTGGCATTTGTGCCGTCCGGAATTATTTGCGAAGGCATTTTCTGCATTTATTGGATTTTTTCTTTTTCTCTTTCGAAGGATGTGAAAAATATTTTCTAAGACTTTACTCTTTCAATAGTTTATTAGTAAGTATTAACTGGAAGGATAAAAAATACCATAAAAGTTAATTTTATCAACTGATGAGTGTAAAAATTATAAATAAAAAAAAAAATTATAAATAAAAAAAAAAATTATAAATAAAAAAAATTATAAAAAATATAAAAAAAATATTACAAAATAAATATAAAAAATATCATTATATAAAAAAATATAAATATATAAAGACACCGATAAGTAAAATATATTAAAATTAAAAAAATTAGCTATTAAAAAAAAATTAAAAGAATAAAAAAAAATTATTTACAATCTTCATAAAAACATAAATAAATAAAATTAAAAGACACCTTTATGCATTTCTAAAATTGTCAAATAAGTATTTGAAATTTAACTTCAAACAAACAGCTCTTTTTTATGTCGCGAAACCATTTTTCGCTTCGGAAAATATAACATTCTGGTCACCCTGCGCTTTGCGCCGTCGTACGAATCAACACCGCCGCAAGTGTGGGCGATAAATTCGTAAGCGCCCGTAACAGCAGCAGCAGCATCCACTCTCCCTTGCTCTAGCACTAAAAACAAGCAACAGCGAGTATGCAAATAGCGATAAAGACGATGATGATGATAATGTTGTTGTTTGATATACAAAATGTAAACAAATGAGAGAATCCACAAGTGGTTATATTTCGCATTAAGTAAATAAATAGATATGTATCAGCGTTATAGTGAGGCTATGTAAACAAATAACATCATTTAGTTAAATTTTACAAATTCTCATTATCTTACTCTATTTATAATCCTTTTTATTTATGTAAAATGAGTTGGTTTTTATTTATTTTATTTTTTTTGTGTAATTTCGCATGCTGTGGCAACACCGTGGCTATCTGGTTATGAAGTAAGTTTTTTTAACCGCCCTTTGTTACCACCTTTCGTCGGCTACGCTAGCCCATCAGCCGGCAATGAATCATCATGCAACAAGTAGATTTCTCGCCAAAATGGCTCACTGTGCTGACACGAAATCAGTCGATGTTTAATCATTAACACATGCCTCATCAGCAGTAACTAGCACACGAGCAGCCTCTTACACAGTCTAGAGCTAATTAATAGACATTTTAACACATTTTCACAGCGCAGTAAGATGTTTGAAATGCTAATTACTTCGCGTTGCAATTGTTTTCCCCTCCATTCTTTTTGACTCCATTAGCGTGGCGTAGAGAGTGAGCCAGTCAGCATGGTGGTGTTCCACTTAATTGATTGCATATTTTGCCGTACATTGACCATTATTGGTCGTTGGGATGACAACGACGTACAAATGCTCGGTCGTAGTGCTTCAGATACTTTGTAATTTCTATTTTACTTTCTAGGCTGTTTCTTACGGATTATTGGTACTTACAATATCGTTGTATTTTATACCAGTCCTTTTGCGGATTACTTTATAATAATTTCCTGCATTCTGTAAACCACATTCTTTAAAATATACGTTGATATTTTAATTCGTGCTTCTCCACACCCGGACTGATATATATTTGGCCAACACACATATTTATGTATGCATTTATGTGTATATAGTTGGTTAACTTGCCGTTTTAGGCCAAGTCTACTGTTATTTCACCTTTTTTCCAACTATTATTACCTTTCTTTACTCTGCATGCACTTCTCTAATCCATACGTTTGATTTTTGCTTCTACTTGCGATTCTTTTCCTTCCTTTTTTCATTCACAAATATACAAAAATTTAGCATTTATTATTCACTTTAAAATGTAATAAATTCGCATTGCGTTACCAAAAACAATAAACCACACAAAAACACAATGAACTCAAAAAAAAACAAAGTAAAATTAATTAAGATTTTAATTAGTCTGTGGGCAACAAATTAATTTAATTTAATTGGGTGAGCGGCACGATAATCGTAAACAAGATAAAATTTCGAGTGTGCGAAGAAAAATGGTAGATTTAAGGAGTTGCCACCGTGTACAAACAGAGTTGTATGTAAAGTACGTAGAACGTGGGGTCGTAAGCGTAACGTTTAAGAATACGTTTTGACAATTACTCAACTCGTTTCAACCACAAATGTATTTTGTTGTTGCCATACAAAGCTCTGTTTTACTTACATTATCGAATTTTCCAGCTGAAAAGTTTGAATCAGTTGCTCGAGCGATACAGCGATGATTTTTGTCAAACTTTCAAGTCGGAAAGGTAAACACAAACGCACACGAATAATTTTGAAGAGGTTAACTAGATAAATTGCATTATTTTCTAATTATTCCTTGTTTTAAAAAACTCTGACGCTATTTTTTATCTACGTTATTTACCCTTTTTATTTAGCGTTTCTCCTATGAAAAGATTGCACCGCGTTCTTATAAATTTATATTAAATACGTAATCTTTAAATCTAACATAATCTTGTTCTACAATCAGGTTTTCCAATTAACTGTGTTTGGCAACGCGATACATCAGAAAAATGCTTGGCATCACTAGCATTCTTCGTTTGCTTTTCACTCTTTCTTCGCTACGAAATGTCAAAAGTTTTCATCAGTCCGAAAAATTCTTTCTCTTGGAAAAGTTCACATCTGTTATTTACTGATGTGTGATAAGAATTTATATCTTATTAATTTGCATAAAATAAATATTTATGTTTTGTAATAAAATACGTGTCGTTTATGTAAATTGTTAAAGTCAATAAAGAATACAACGAAACTATATACATATATGTGTGTTTTTTGGTAAGACAACGCAATCGTAAGTTGGACATTGGGCCCGATTACGTACAACGAAACCGACGAGTAGATGATAAATAGCAAATGTGTGTGCGATTTTGGTAAATAACCAAGAAGAACGAATCAAAATTTTGATTTTCTCTCATTTTCCGGAAGGCAAAGTTGTGGGCGTGCAGTAGGAAATATCTGTCGAACTGTTAAAAAGTGACTATTAAGGAAATAAATTAGAAATTTCCGAAATAATGTGGTAATTAGTCACATATTAACCGCACAATTTCAGTTTTTGTTATTGTGCTTTAAATTGTAAGTTGCTAACCTTTGTCAACAACAGCAAATACTTACCAGCGTACGCGTGTATACAAAAATAGACAAAATGATTCGTCTGAAACAATTTTAAGCTAAAGCAAAATAAACCATTAAAGAATTAAAATATTTATAAATAAAACCACTTTACGTCACAACCACTGTTGCTGGGCTAAGAGATTTTGTGCATATATATACATATGTATATATATTTGTGCAGTTATTAAACAATAATATCAGTGTTTGTGTGCGTGCAATTTTTTAAATCGTTTGCCAAAAAATCTCGAAATATAATTAGAAATTCAAACGGTGGTAAGTTTGGACATACATATTTTTTGTGCAAATTTTCCACTTATTACAACGTTCATGCACATACATACATCCACACATCATTTAGGTTTTACAAAATATTAACTACTTAACACCCACCTATTAAAACCACTATACACATAAATATGTATACAAATTTGTAGTAATTTTCAAGAATTTTCCATTTAGTATTTCCTTTCCTTTGGCTATACTTCAGTTACATATATACGTATATCTGCCAGGAACATGTCCATGAATGCGTTGCACTCTTCCCCTTTTTGTTTTGATATTTTTCTTCTATTTTGTTTCTATTACTTTTTGTTGCAGCCTTCGCCTTTGCGAAAGCGGCAGCGGCTGCTGTTTACGAAGCCAAGTACGATGCAGAGAAAATCGATTTTCATCGCATTAAAAAAAGTTTGATGTGTGATGAAAAGAAGCTGAGAATGTGCATGTTATACTTATGTACAGTTTGTATGTACATATGCGTATATTCTGGAAATACCGCAAATGTGCTGAAATCATTTTTTTTTATTAAATCTGGAACGTCCTTTTTGTAAGTGGTTATATTCGTAGATACTTCTGCTTAAGAAAATTTTCATGGCCCTTGAACGATTTGTGATTTAAATATATATGTAAAACCTATACAGAGGCATCGCAAATTTTGGTATGTAATTGAAGCGTATGGCGTTGACATATGTACATATATACCTACATACAACCACCAAGTTCGAAAGCGACAATCAACTGCCATGAACTTTCTAGAAATTTCGACGCTTTGACTATTTCCTCTCGTGCAGTTGAACTTAATCAATGAGGTTATTTTTGTTTTCAATTAAGCAGAATTCCTTGTAATTTATGAGGTTATGTATTTTGAAATATTGTGAATATTTTTTTATTTTTATTTTGTAGGTTGGAGGATGCATAACTAAGCCTCTGAAGCAATATTCAAGAAAAATCAGAAAACTTTTGCCATGACGTGGACGTACCCATTTTTTGTATGCGCAAGAAAAATGTTTGACGAAGGGTTGATAGAGAAATCACATACATGCATACATACATAACTACATAGGTTTTAACACAGCCACAGAAACTGCTGGCCGACAGTACCTCCAATTTTTCGAGAAGCAGTACTGAACTTGAAATGAAAGTCGTTGGCGTAAAGAACCCACAGTTGCTGGAAGTCAAATCGATAGTCTGCAGCAGCTCGGGTAAAGACAAAGAAACGTTACCTGAACGGGATGGGTCGGCGAAAGGGTGCTAGCCCTTGGCTGGATAAAATCCGGGTCAACTCCGGTACGTTGAAAGGGCTGTCTGGAGAGTTGTTGCTAAGCTTAGATCTGGGTAATGTAGCAGGTTAAACTCCTACCTATCCAGACTCGACTCCAACATACCCAACACGCCCGACACTAACTACCTCTTTACATTCCCCCTTTAGCCGACACATCTAACCCCCCTTTCCATCTGGTCCGATCTCGTCGAAACAGCAGGTTTCCTGGACCTCCCGATAGATGACCTCGGTCCGATCCCGTCGAAATAGCAGGTTTCCCGGACCTCCCGATAGATGACCTCGGTGACTTAGATTGATTTTATACCTGTCCTTAAGCGGGGTTAACGTAGCCGAACATACAACAACAACAACACAAACAAACGTTGCTCTCAAAATAAAAAACGGTATTCCGATATAGATGCCTGGGACTACCAAGACGCAGGGGAAAAGGCTACAATCGTGTCAAAACTTTCTTTCGCAGTAAAACATCTATGTGTGCTCCCAATTAAGGCGCATGCTATTTTTTTGTTGTTATTATTACCGGAAAATCGTCCTCGGACGAATAAAAATCCGGGTCGTTTCGGCTTAAAGACCTGACTTCGCGGGAACTATTGCATTTTAGTCGCCTATTACGACAGGCATGCCTTGCTATGCTCTGAGTTTTGCGGTGGTACCACCCATTGCAGACCAAGAGCTGGAGCCACCTCGAGAGGCCCGTTTATTAGTGATACACTTAGGCACTGTATACTCGAAATTTAGTCGACCCTCTAAAACAAACTTATCTAACTCCACTCTGTCTTTGGTCTGAAATCAGCAAGGTCTCTAGTATTTTCAGCCCAATACACTCGATTTCCACCTACCGTACCATAGTCTACTACGTCTCTATTATAATAAAATACTCCAGCGTTTAATTTTTTTATCATCAAAGTGTCTCAAATGTGTCGTGTTGCTAAGTGCCCCATTGCGGCTTTAAGGAATCGATCAAATTTTTTTATTGAATAAACAACCAACAACTCGCTACGAATAACAGTTATAATATAATGCCATATGAATCTTCTAGTCAATACACAATAGCAAGGCAAGGAAACATGCCGGCCGACTGTCTGCCTACACTTCTACGTGCACATTCCTCTTCTCTTGTATATATGTACATATGTATGTACGTAAATATTTATGTGTGTAAACATGGCAACATTCCCGTTTCTGGCACGTTCCATAGAACGAATCGTTTGCTGGCTGGCCCGTCAGCCAAACAATGGACCGCTAGTTTGTCTCGTTCGAGCAGCCAACATTGTCTGGCACAGCTATATTATGGCTACGGATATACTCACGATGATTGTGATTGTACTTTGTCTATGGAAACGGCAGAAGAACACTAGTGCCAAAGTAGTTTGTGAAGAACAAATCTGCAAATTATTATATTCTGTCAAAAGGATTTTTGTTACTTCGTAACACCCACCCCTCCGCGCTCGAACGAAGCAGCTAAGCATTGCATACCTCTCGTCGTTTCAGGCAGAGTCCATCGGCGCGCCTCGGTTGATCGCACGACATAATTTTGCATAACAGCTCACCCCAGACAGTCGTCTGTCTTAATTGTTGGACCGGATGGACATGGGTTTATTGCACCCCTTAAGGTCGACAGGAGCACAAACAAAATCTCTTTTTTTTCGCACCCTCTCTTGCTCTCTGCTTAACTAAAAATTAACACATATTTTTGCACACATTGCACTTCATCTTCTCATATGCATCTTGGCTTGTCAATTCATTGATTTTGCTCACTTTTCACATTCGTCACACGCTACAATACTAATTGAGACAGAGGTTCGTTCATTCGCTCGGCCGGTCGGTTAGTTGGTTGGCTGGTTCGCTGGTTGGCATGCTGTTTGTCAATGGTGGCCCTGTGTAAGCTCATTGCACTTTGTGCAGCAAAAATGCGTGCAACTTTTTCGCCGGTCTGGGGGGGGAAGAGACACAACAGCAGAGGCGTTGTATTCACAATCACGAGCACGAGCTGTCGAACTTGGTCAACGGACATGCGTATGTGTATACGACGACATTCCTCTGGATCCACCCAGCAATCGTCTGATAGTACATACAATACAGGGTATTTAATAGGGCTTACCAGAATCAACTTATGTAGGTTGGTCAGAGTCGGGTCAAACAGTAGTTCAGTATCCCAACCTCAGAAGAAGTAGGCGTTAATTGAATTTTCGTGACTGATGTTTAAGACCGGTCCTAACCTAACACGTCGCGTAGTTCTGTGTTGCGGCCATCTGATGTGCCTCAAACAAAGTCCTGCAGGGACCATCCCTTCTGTCTGTAAACTTTCTGAATATCCTCGTGAATGACGTGCTCGAAGTCCAACCATCACCTAATGCAAACCAAAGACTTCGAGCTGCTACGAGAAATCCAGCATGTATTACTGCTTAGTTAAGGTCTGCAGGTTGTAATCGTGTTAGTTCTGACCTATCCAGACTAGACTCCGACTTACCCAACGTAGTAATGAGTCTCCACTTGACACAACTATCTAATTGCATGCCCTTTACTGGTCCGTTTCCTGGACTTCTTCTCCGATGATTTAGACTGATTTTTCCACCTGCTCCTTAAAGGGGTTTAATAGCCGTTGCTATAACAACAGCAACTCAGGGTAAACCGGAGAGGGCAAAGCCTTTAAATCTTTCGGTCTCGCGGTTTCGCTTAATTCAGCGGAGGCAGACATCCAGTCTAATTTTGCGCGTCATTAAGAAAACCGATCAACAAAAGGGAGCCATGTCTGATATTGGTTCCTTTTTCCAACCATTAGGAAAACGTTTTGCTACCCCCGAATTTCAGTCAGGATCTGGGACCGGCATACTATCAATATGACCACCACAAACTTCCAGCATTTTTAACGCCTCAACCAAAGCCGTGCTAGACCCGCCCCCCATAGTAGCTCTGCACTTTTCAAAAGAAGGATCATCATCTTGCGACTGCTTGATCTTGGCGTCTGCGCATGTTCTTTGTAAGAAGATGAACTACCTCCATTCAGGCCAGAGCTGCGAAAAGTCTTTAAACCGCCAACCTGTGGCGTTTGTCTTTGACCTGCGCCCACCTTGATTAAAAAAATCCTGATGCTGCCTGTATATCACCTTCACTGAGACTTCAAGTCTTCAAATGCTCCCCATTAAACAAGATTCTGTTGAAATTCCCAGGGATTTGGGGTTTTAAGTACCTTTCCAACAAAAAAAAAATAATCCTACCCTACTTGGCGTCGCCTTCAACGTCGAACCCAGTATCATATTGCAATGCTCAATGCAGTCAGTGGTCGCTGGCTGTGGATGCCACCTCAGCGCAGCTGATGCTTGCACATATTTACGTGTCTGTTTGTACATACATATGTATGTGTGTACAACTGTATTATTTATGCTGTTGCATTCACTAGTAGCTCATTCATGCCAGCTTTTCGAGGCTCCGCTCACACACGCTTAATAAGCGCACGCTCTCACTCTCAAATGCTTTCTGCAATCTACGAGTACATACACACAAACGTGTATGCATCTTTTCTGTTGTCTGTAAACCGCATGCAAGCAGGCATATTTTCTCTACCAATATCTCAATATGTACAATGTCTGCATATTATACACACATACATACATACACACATATGCGCTCAAATATAAGCTTTGTTGTTCTTTTCCATACATGTATATACAAATACATACATACACTCAACGAGTGCACTGCAACTTATAGATACATGCATGCATATATATGTACATTTATAAAACATTTTCTTAACTTTTAATTCTAGAATTTTCCCCGACAGCCAACACTCTGAGTTCGCATTCGAAAGCGTCAACAACGCAACGACGACGACGAAGAAAACAACGGTAAAGCTATTAGCAAGCGAAGGCGGCGTAAAAAGTAAAGTAAAACAAAAATATCTGAATATTGGAAAATTTTGTCATCATATGCAACGGTGCGGTCAACGATCAGCGTAAAATTGCAGCAGCAGGAACAACAACAACAACAAAAAACTAAGCAAAATTGTGTGAAAAAGCGTTTGTATTTTGTGTAAAAATCTGTGCTTAGTTCGTTTTTTTTAAGGATTTTTCTTTATATTTAAATAAAAAGTTTTAAATTCTTTTTGTATTCAAAATTAAAAACCGTTACAAAAAATAAGCAGCAAAATGTCGCGTTTAAGTCAGTCGAATTTAATACAAAAATTGTCACTTTTAAAGACTAAAAAGTTTATGTGATATACGTTCTACAATACGTGCGATATCAATATAAAAACAACAACAACAACAACAACAAAGAGAAAATTAACAAAAAATCTGACAAAAACGCTGAGCAGTGGTGGTAGAAGTGCTGCGAAAATACCAACAACAAAAAACTTGTAACAAAACGCAAAAGTCGACCCGACGCTGTGTGGTAATTTTTACTGGGCGCTTTAAAAAAAATTTCAATTTTCAAAAAAAAAAATCGAATTTCAAAAAAAAAAAAAAAATTAAAAAAGTTTACAAAATAAAAATTCAAGAGATTCCAAAATAAAAATCAAATTCACAAAATTTAAAAAAAAAAATATATTATAAATAAAATTAAAAGAAAAATTTTCAAAAATAAAATACCAAAAAAATTTCAAAAAATTCAAAAACGCTTAAAACGAAACTTTCAACCGAAACAAGTAAAATTAACACTTTTTTAGCAAAGGCAACGAAAATTTTGCAGCAAAGCAGCGACTGTGAGCCGAGTTACTGCAAGAACAAGCAACGAAAATAGCAAAGCAAAAATTTTTTGAGCCAAAGCTACTGCGTAGTGCCCGAAGCAAAAGCTGCTGCGCTAAAGTGTGTGACCAAATTGTTGGTAGCAAGCAAAAGTTTGCAAAAAATTGTGGAAACCACCAGTTTTTTTTTATTGAAAAACTTAACTTTTTGTGTTCAAAAACACTAGTTTTGAAAACTTTTTTGTACATTAAACGCATTTTTCCCCACTAAACTGAAAATTACTTACGTTTAACGTCCATAATTTTGATTGCGTGCATTCTACGAGTCCCTCTTGACATACCTACATACATACATTCCATAAGTTTTAAGAAAGTAGTAGAAGTTTAGTCTACAAAAGACTGGCGCTGTGTAAAGACTTGGTGTAAGAAGCGCAAAAACCGCCACAAGCAGCTATTGAAGAGTTTTAGAGTACGCATTTGGTTACAAAAACAAAAAACGTAGAAGAAGAAGCAGCAGTCGAAGCATTTCAAGTGCAAATTACTATCAAACCACACATACATACCTACATACACCCCTATATATATATACAACACATACAATTGTTGTAGACAAAGTACACCTTTGAAAGTTGAAAGACACCTTTAACTGCCGTCACTGCCTAATGGCAAGTTCGCTTAATAAAACGAGACACAGGCGCAGATTGACTGCGATCTCGTTTCTATCGAATATTTCATTAGATGGCACACATCGGGATACTAAATTTGGAGCAACAATTGGCATTTGTGGCAACGCAGCTACAACCTATAACGCAACGGCAGCGGGACTACAAAGTGGCGCAACAACGATTGGAGGCGGCGGCATCGGTATCGGCGGTGGTGGTGGCGGCAACGGCAACGGCGGCAGCAACAAGCACCAGCAGCAGCAGCAGCAACAACAATATTTCAACTACAACCGCAATAATCAACGTTATACCCAACGACAACAACAACAACAACACCATCAACATCAACACTATTATCAGCATCAACAACATCATCACGCAAATGGCGGCTGCAATATTGGCAATGGCAATGCCGGCAGCGGTGGAGGTGGCTCCAACATGCGTGCACCATCGGCGGCTATGTTCCTCGCCACGTGCGGCGATGATGCGCATATGGAGTACATTGGCGGCGGTGGTGGTGATGGCACTGGCAGTGATGGCTGTGCCGATAGTACCGGCAGCGCCGATGGTGATGGGCATTTTAGTGAAATTGAAAATATGGGTCAACACTTGATAAATGCACGGCAGCGTAACGCCGCATATAAGGGCGATGGTGGCATTAAAGCAACAGCAGCAGCAGCAGCAGCAGCAGCAACAATCGCAGCTAAGTCCGCAATGGCTGGTGGCAACTCCGGTGACTATGACGTCTGCGGCGGCGGCGGTGGCGGTTCTGCATCTGCACCAGAGAAGCGCAATGCTAAGCGTCCTACGTCGAGTGGTCGACAACAGGGCAGCAATCATCAACATCATCACGGCAATTGCAAACCGAATACGAAGCAACAGGGCACAATGGGCATTGCTAGTAAGCAACAGTTGGCCGGCGGTAGTGGCGGTTCGGGCGCTGAAAGTGGCAGTGATTCGGATAGCGTCAAAATACCAATGAAAGTTTCCAGCTTGGGTGCCGGCATACTAATGCCACTGCGTGAAAGGTGAGTGGAAGATTGTAAAATTCATTTCTTAGTTTATTTTCAATTTAATATGTGTGGCTGCGGCCGTGGGCTGAGGTTACAAACCACACAAAACAGATTTTGGATCGAGTGAATAGGTTTTAGAGCGAAAAAAAATGAAAAACGCATTTTTACCTCGATCTCCTTTGATTGCTTTGACAAAAATACATATGAAACCCAGCCAGAGAGCCAAAACCATTTTATCTACTGCATAAAATTATACTGAAATGTTAAAAACTCAGTAAAATACATGAAAAATTGTGGTCCCAGAAGATTAGTTATGGGGACCGGTATGACCTTGAGGCCATTGAAACAAAGAAGTTTCAACCAAACCCCTGTTTGGGGCAGATTCTCGTAATAATTTCAAAATTATATAGATTAAAGGCCTTCTTTTGTAAGGTCTCTGAAAAAAATTTGAGGTTATAATATTTCAGAAATTTCTGTTCAGCCGATTTCGTGTGCTGCAATTTCTAAACTCCTAAAGAACTTTCGGCAGCCTTGTTTTCATTTTAAACTCCTTTATTTGATTTGCTTTTTAATCACTTAGAGTAGACTGAGTTAAACTCCTTGTTTGTTTGTATGAACTGAACATAACCTAAAAGAATTTAAGTAATTTTAAAAACCTTTCTAAAACTATTGCAATCACGGCTTTTTATTATATTGGCATAATAAATTTTGATAAAAGCAAAGGAAAAAAACATAAAAATATAAGAGGAACCCCAAAAATTAATAGAGTGACGTATAAAATCACAGATTCTGTTTTGAAACGGTGTACATTCATACCAAATAAATTTTACTTAATACAGACCTTCACCGTATTATTCAAAATTCTACACTCTAAAGTTTGCTGAAAAATTTTGAGCTTGAAGAATTTCAAAAAAAAATCTACTCAACTCCGCATTTTTCACAGCCAGTAAAGCCTTTCGCCAGACTTACTTTCTTAAATTTTTGTTTAAATATTCCTTTTTGCACTCAAAACAGTTTCGTTGTTCTAGTTCGAGCTTTATTTCTTGGTGCAGTGTATTTCTTATAGACCGAACCTAACCTAGCAAATTTTGAAAGCTGAAAACAATTATAAAAACTTTTATTTTTCAAAGCCACACAAGTAACGTGGGCATATAACCTTTTAAAATTTATAAAAAGTCCGAAAACTATAGACGAAATTAAACTTTTAAAAATTAGAAAAAGAGTAAGCAATTTTTAAAGCCCGGAAAACCCTTTTTTATATATTTTTATTTTTTATATTACTATTACTGTGCTCTTAAAGCACAGTTCTTATTCCATAGCAAATTTTCCTCCTTACGACAGTGCATTTTTGAAAAGCTCAACATAACCTATAAAACCGAAAAGCATTTCAAAAACATTTATACCTGAGGCAATAGCGGAATAAGTTTTGATAAAACTATTAATAAACAAATTCACACATAAAAGTCAATAAAAAAAAATCCTGAAAACTGCACATAATTTACATAGAAACGTGTTTCTTCAAAATTTTGAGGTTATGTCCTGTGCTTACCATTTCTTAAAAAAAAAATCCAAAATTTTACTCACACAAAAATTGCAATAAATCATCAAAGACGTATACAATTTAATTTAAAAAAATCTTAAACAATAAAGTAAAATATTGTCTGAAGTAATTCATCAATCATTTTACACTTAAATGTTAAGGAAGAGATATGATTTCTGCATTTGCTTACGTCACAAATTTTAATGAATTTTTTCCATTTCTTTGTTAAACTCCCAAAATCAGGCACTTAAACAATTTTGGCAAAAAAAAAACACTCAAAAATACACATAAATTAAAAAAAAATTCGCAATGCTTGAATGAATGATTGATTAGATAAGGAAGCATATGCTATACAAAGCTTTTAAAATGTATGACAATAAAATTACTTTCTTTCTTTTCTTTTTGCTCCGCTCTGCACCTACGTAAAGATCTTTGAAGTGCATTTGATACATTTCAGTTCAATTGTGAAAACCACTTAAGGCATTAACCACTGTGCAAAGCTTGAGAATCTTTAAATTTTCCACTTTAACTGTAAATTTGTGCGTTTGTAATGTGCATAAGTACGTAGAGAAATGTGATTTTGTGGCTTTGTTGACGATTTTTCTATGAAATTAGTGATTGGTTGTCCAGTTGACAACAAGAAATATTTTAACTTCCTCGTATATATGTATGTACATACATATCTAATACTATCATATAATATTTTTTGTGTGTCTATTGTTTTTGTTATAATTACTTTGAAATTTTGTTGCAAAATTGCTGCCTCAGCGTGCATTGCACTTTTTGCCATAGAAAGCACACATGTGCGATCGATCGAAAACGAATTGGAAAATAAAGAAAATTATTCAATAAATATGTAAAATTAGAGTGAAATACCAAATGACCTCAAATTATGGCATACAAATTGATGAGCGGCTAGCAAACAAGGGAACCCTGTAGGGAAAAATTTTGGGTTGCAGTTGGAAATTCTTCTATAAATTGATTGTTCCGTTGGCTGTAAGGCATTTAGTGCCGTCTTGTTGATTTGCCCACATCAACGTCAGGCACGAAAAGTCATTAATCATGGCTATGTCGTTCCCTATTGTAGACAGTAACATTATGGTCGGCTTCATTTTTGTAGAAATATGGTCCATTGATTCCCTCTACCAATAGAGCACACCAGTGGTTGTAACGGTGTTTCAACAACGATTTGTGGATTATCATCGCTCCAAATGCGATACGCATAATCCCCTATAGTATCTTGTCCTTGGTTGCCCGAATTATCGATTCTGCTTATAGAGATCGTCGCTCGAACCGAACCACTGAGTATAAATCAAGTAACAGACATTAAAGTGGCTAATGCCAGAAAGAGTATTGCTTCATTGACATCGAAACGTCTAAAGAACAATTTATCCCAAACAACTTTTTTAGCTGAGTGGATTTCTAAACATTTTTAATATTATATGTTCGATGTGAGTTTTGGCGGGTATTAATATATCGTAAAACAATTTTTTTTTCTATTTTTCTTAACAAAAAATTGAACAAAAGATGTGATTATTTGAAAATAAATCACTTTTCGAGACGAACATATGACTTTGTGACCGGTTGTTTCAGTAAGAAAACATTTTTTATTGAATTCAGAACATTTTTAATTTGATTAAGATGAATTGTTGGATGTTTTTATGTACATAATTTGGACAGTTTTATTAACGAATAATAAATTACATGGATTTTTATTTTTCATTTGTTTGTTAGACAGTCACCGTTAAGGTCAAAAGATAACACTATTTATTTATTTCCAATAATATTCCGACAATTTTTAACATTTTCTGATTTTTTTCATTCATGTTTTTTTTTATTGTTGTTTATCTGCCAAAATGATGTTTTATTTTACGGCTCTGCTCTGCAATAAATAAGAGTTTTAAATTAGTAAAAAAAATATTTGTAGTATGTTTGTCTGCTTTCGATGTAGTGATTTTCCAACTGGGTGCTTAATTGATTAATATGTATGTATGTATATGTGTATGCATGTATACAGTTCCAATTTGATACATTATTTTGTCTATGCGAAGCCTCAAATTAATTCGCATGAATCATAATTGACGCCGCAATGCGAGTGAAGGCAAACGCATGGGTGGCACAGACTTGTGGGTATGTACATACACGTATGTATGTATGTACACACATTCGTTGTAGACACGCGACAAAACGCGAGTAATGTAAAATTATTACATGTTGTAGTTAATTCGGTGGGCAAGTCACTCAACGGGTGGTTGCTGGTTAGATACATAGGTGTGTATTTATTTATTTATTTTTTCTTTTTTGTTGTGCATGCATACATATGTATGTTCATATTTAGCAATGTTTACTTATATCACTGTTTATTTTTCAAAAAAAAAAAACTCGAATACAAAACACTTCTTGTAATAAATGCGAAAATCATCTGACTCTTGCCATTTCTTAAATGTTGAAATAAATTTATACAACTAATTGTTATATAAAAGCCATTCACTTTCTATATTTGTGCTTATGTAGCCACACATTAATTTTGTATGTTTATATTTTATTATTTTCTGCACTGTTGCTATAGTTTGAATATATTTTTTATATGTATTAATTATTAGTTTTTCCTCCTTTGTTTATCTACTTTTCAACCAAAACACCAAAAACACGTGTTCTATAACCATAAAGCTCTCTTCTTCTTCCTATCTAATTTTAGCCACAAATTGACGCTGAAAATTTTAATTTAATAAATCTAAAAGAGTCCGACATTTATTTTGACTTTAATTTGTATTAAGAAATTAATTGGCTTTGCATGTATTTATGTACTTTCATTTTTCGTTTAATTTAATACTCGCTAAATTTATACATTTTCTTTTTTAATTTTAAATAAGTGCCTTTGAGCGCAAAAACATTTTTTTTTTGGTTAAGAGCTCTTGAAAAATTTCTTCTAGTTTAACCAGTTTTTATTGATTCAAACGGTTACGAGTAGAAGCAAAGCTATATATTAAGTAATATTTTTTTTTTTTAATAATAACTAATTTATTTTATTTCAATTCAAAAATGGAAAAATAAAAATATGAAAAACGAAAATTTTAAAGGAGTTTATAAAAATAAACATTACAAATAAAAAATTTAATTGAAAAATAAAAAATTAATTGAAAAATAAAAAATTAATTGAAAAATGAAAAATATAAAAAAAAATAAAAATATATAAAAAAATAAAAATATATAAAAAAATAAAAATATATAAAAAAATAAAAATATATAAAAAAAATAAAAAAATATATAAAAAAATAAAAGATAAAATCTTAATGAAAAAAAAATTGGTAAAAAATTAAAAAATTAATCGATAAATAATAATTACTTAAAAATAAACAATAATAATGTCGTTTATTTTTGAATAAAGAAAAAGTATAGTTTATTTTTCGTTAATTTATTTTTATGTATTAATTTCAATATTTAATATATATTATTTTGTATATTTTTCGATTTT